GGAACTGGAGTTATGAATGGTTGTTAGCCACCATGTGGGTGCTAAGAATCAAACCTGGGTCCTCTGCAAGAGCAGTCAGTGCATTTAACTGCTGAGCCATCTCTCCAGTCCCTAGATTTTATTTTTAATTGTGTGTGTGTGTAGGAATGTGCACTTGAGTTCTGTTGACCATGGAGGCCAGAAGAAGGTGTCAGATTCCCCGGAGTTGAAGTTACAGGTGGTTGTGAACCACCTGATGTGGTTGCTGGGAACCAAACTTGAGACCTCTGAAAGGTCTTAATCACTAAGCCATCTCTCCAGCTCCAGAACATTTTTATTATGAGTTTCATTATTGGGGCTGGAGAGATGGATCAGTGGCTAAGCACACTGGCTGCTCTTCCAGAGGACCCAGGTTCAATTCTCAGAACCTACATGGCGGCTAACAACCATCTGCAATTCTGGTTACAGGGGATCCGACACCCTCTTCTGTCCTCCACAGGCATTGCATGACATGAGTGCACTCACATACGTGCAGGCAAAACACTCACACACATAAAATAAATTCAAAAAAAGACAACAAACTTGGGCAGGAGAAATGGCTCAGTGATTAAGAGCACATGTTGCTCCTCCAGAGGACTGAGTTCAATTCCCAGCAAACACATCGGGTGGCTCACAACCACCTCTAACTCCAGCTCCTGGGGGATCTGACCTTTCTGGCCTCTGCAGGCACCTGCACTCTCATGCACACACCCACACACAGACACACATCATTAAAAATATAAATAAACAAACTAATAAATTAGTTAAACAAATTAATTAAGCAAACAAAATACTGGGGCCAGTGAGATGGCTCAGCAGGTAGAAGCACTTACAGCCACACCTGTGACCTGAGTTTGAGCCCAAGAACCCATGTAAAGGTGCAGAAAGAACTGACTCCACAAAGTTGTTCTCTGACCTTCATACACATGCCATCGCACACACACACCCAGCCCCAAGACAGAAGGACCCCAGGGGCTGCTGGTGGCCAGCCCAGCTGAACTGTCAAGCTCTGGATTCAGTGAGAGACCCTGTCTCCAAAAATAGCATGGAGTGTGATTAAGGAAGACACCAGACACTGACCTCTGATCCCTGCACACACAGGCGTACATGCATGTACACACACACACACACATACACACACACACAAACTTCGCACCTACATTTCTTCATTACTAAAATATTTAAGTTCCAAAAGCCTCCCCTGACATTTTTTTTTTAAATCCAAACAAATTTACAGCCTAAAGAGTACTGGAAAACCAGGCAAGCTTTCATTAATTCCTTACACAAGAAAATAGAGCCACAGAGCCCTGGTTTTTGGAACTAATGAAGCAAACATGCAAAAAAAAAAGTTTTTTTTCCACAGCCTTTGGCTCCCTCAAGTCCTTGTTATAAGCAGGGAAGTGCTGGGCTGCTGCGGCAGGAGGAGAAACCCTACAGATGTAAGCGTCTGCGTCTGCGGGAGGCAGGGGCAGCCTCAGCCCCCTCCGTTTCAGATCTGGGATGAGAACCAGAATCCTCTGAACTTCATCTACATTCCTAGCTGCATGCACACACATGCACACATACACAAGCACATTGCACATGGTCTCCTGTTGTGAGAGGAAGGAGATTCGTGAGCACAGCTTCCTCTCGCACAAGGACTGACTTGTCTGCTTCAAGTCACTTTTTTTTGGGAACAGGGTCTCACTACATAGCCCTCACTAGCCTGGAACTCACTATGTAGACCAGGCTGGCCTTGAACTCACAGAGATCCACCTGCCTCTACTGGAATTAAAGGCATGAACCACCATGACCTGGCCTGGGCTTCTTTTTAAAAAAAGACAGGGTATTGTTACCTAGCCCAGGCTGGCCACACACCTGCAGCCACCCCCCCCCCGCCAGCGTCTGAGCCATCATCACCCAGTCCTGTCTCACTTGTAAAAAAGCTAATACTCTGAGGAGACCTTTGCTCTAACACTTCCTCACTGCGCAGTCAGCACACCTTACCCAAATCTAGAGTGGACTTTGTCACCTGGCCCGAAGCTCTTACAGCTCTTTGGGAAAGACAAAAAAGAAAAAGCTGGCCTCCTGAGTACCAAGAAAGGGGCAGCAAAACAAGGGACCGCTCCCTGACTACGTGTGCTTGAGGTGGCCTCCTGTGTAGATGGGAGACTTTAGGGAGAAGACAGGAGGCTCTACAGGTCTGCTCTAATTTGAGGGGGGGTGAGGCTAAGGAAGGAGGTTCCTAGGCACACCAGGGTGTTCTTCATCCTATGGGACAGGTAGTCATGGACACTCACTCCTGTGCTGGTCCATGGGGCTCCACATCAGTCACCCTGAATGAAGTAGTGCCCTTAATAGAGACTTTAGTGTGAGGGTAAAAGCTGGTCCTGGAGCATCCCCAGCTGAGTGATCTGAGACCTTCCCTGGAGCGCACGTTTGTAGGGGTTTCTTGTATGGTTGGTTGCAAAACAGACTGCGCTTTCCAGGGGGAAATGGCGATTTGAGTAGAGAACATTTTCAGCAAAGCAAGAAGTCGTCACTCAGAAAACAGTCACCCACGACAGCCAGGGGACACCGAGAGCTTTGCCGCCACCGTGCGCTGCAGGGTCCATAGGTCCAGAGTCCAGCAGTCTGATGCAGGGGTAGCAGTCAAATCCTAATTAGAATATATTATCCATCTTCCTGACACTTCAGTGAGATGTCTATCCCGCTCTGCAGCCGCAGCTTTGTTCCGAGCAGGTTAATTGATATTCTGGTGCCTTAGCTCGCCATACCCCCGTGGCTCCGTTCTGTTTTATCACACATCAAAAAGGCCGTATGCTCAGGGCACTCCGTGCACCAGCGCAGAGCTGGGGGTCTGCACAGCTGCAAGGGGTACGGTATCACAGGAAAGACAGGAAAGACAAGACCGAGCAGATGTCACAGATGGAAGCAGAGAAGCCAGGCGGCCCAGGGAACTTGGCGAGGCTCGGAGCTCGGCCCCTGGAAGCACTGAGGCCCTTCCCGCAAACAGAAACACAGGTCCTCTCTGCCCTCATGACTGTTATTAAAGTGCAATTAGCAGGACGTGTGGGAAACTCTGCTGCCCTCTGGGCAGCTGCCTTTGTGATGTACTGCCCACATCTCCTCCCCTCTCCTCCAAGGGAAGAGAGTGTGGTGCCTCCACCCCCCGACCCCTGCCTCACAGAGGCTCCCCCCAGCACTTCCCTGATCTGGCTCCCAGCATCTGAGAGGGACAGGACGCACCACTAATCATGCATGAAAGCCGGCTCCAAACAGGATGATCAATTGCTTCTAAGGGCCTCTGGATATCAAAACATCATAATTTCCTTTGTGGACACATGCGGTGATGCATACCTAGTCCCATGGAGCACTTCCCTTACAGTTTTGAGGAAGGCAAACTATTGTTTATTTGTTTGCTTGAGATAAGGTCAAGGCCCAGACTGACCTTGAATTCCATATAAAGCTGAGGACATCTCTCACCCCATCTCAGTTCCCTGGGGAGGTTCACCCCCAAATCCCTACCCACATCAATGGGTTATTTCCCTGTCGTCCTCAGTCCCCGTCATCTCATGACTTTGTCTTCTGAAAACAGACTGGACCGCACGCCATCACTCCAGGAAAAATCCAAGCCAGCCAATGATTGGAAAGGGAATTCGGGAAGGTCTTCTGTGTCTCCAGAGGCATGCTTCTTCCAGACACACTGGGCCTGCTGCTCAGCCTACAGACCGGTGGCCCACACATACCCTTAGAAGTCCTAGATTCCTCTGACCATAGCCTCAACCTGAGGGCCCAGCAACCCCACAATTAAGGTATGGCAATGCAGTGGTAAAACATGTTGCTCTGCCCTCTGGATATCCCTGCCTGGCAGCAGACATCTCCTTCCTTCCCAGCCCCTGTGAACATAGCTGCCTCTTCAGAGGCCTCTCAGCTGTGGGTCAGTCATACTGCACTCCGAATGAGATGCCAGTGACAGCTGCCCCCACCCCTTGAGCCTCCATAAGGTCAAGAAATCACGTGTCCCATGTAAGTGCAGTGAGAGCCACTGATGTCAGCCCAATAACACCACAAAGAGGAGTAAAGCAAGCAGCCCCTTAGGGTCAAAGCATTGTTCATCTCTCTCTTCGCCGGGAACTCAGACTCGCTAACCCGTGAACACCAAGTGAAGTTTTGCATTCTATGTAAACACAATGCTCAAAACATTTCTGTGTCTTAGGGCTGGGGACACAACTCTGTTCCAGCCTTGCATGAACCAAGAGGCAACGTGCTGAGCTCATAGCACCTAGCTCTCTTCTCTCTTCCCTGCCCTCTCTTTTAAAATTTTTTAAAAAATTTATTTTAATCTTATGCATATGAGTGTATTGCCTGCATGTGTGTAAGTGCACCCATGTCATGCAATGCCCGAGGAGGTCAGAAGAAAGCGTTGGATTCCCCTGAACTGGGGATACAGACTACTGTCAACCGCCATGTGGGTGCTGGGAATCAAACCTGGGTCCTCTGCAAGAGCAGCCAGTGCTCTTAACTACTGAGTCATCTCTCCAGCCCAACGCCTCTCTTTTTTGAGACAAAGTCTCATGTATCCCAAGCTGACCTTGAACTCAATAGTGTAGCCAAGGATAACCCTGAAGGTCTGATCTTCCTGCCTCTACCTCCAGAGTGTTGAGATGGCAGGTGTAAACAGCCACACCCAGTTTAATACAGTGCTGAGGATGGAACTCAGGCAGGAAGTACTTCCTGCATGGCAGGAAGTAACCTACCAACTGAGCTACATGGCCAGCCCGATGTTGGTCCCTCTCCAGCTCTAGAAAGAGAGGACATGGGCCAGGCCTCCTGCATTCACTCTTGCTTTTCCTCTGGCAGTGAGTGCTATGCTTCCTCTGGGGGAGCAGGTGGGCTACCCACTCTCAGCCCAACTGCAGGCCCGGGGTGAACACCGCTCTCCCAGCTGTCCGCTCTGCCTTGCCCCTCATGGGACAGTTCTGCGTTCAGGTCCACTGGCCTGTGTGTGCTGACAGATGCTGCCTCCCTGCTATTTGTGAGAATTCCTCCTCCTCATAAGGTACAATGACAAACCACTGAACTTTCTATCCCACCAAAGTTCACCCTGAGCTATCTGTTTATTAGGGACTTCCTTACAGAGCATATTGTTGGGACATGGGGGAATCCCAAAGCAGCCACACTGGGAAGCCTGCACTCAGCATGGCTTCCTTGTAGCCACACATATGGAGCCTCAGTTTACCTCCCCCAGAATATATACTCTAGCCCCTCCCTAAGATCTGAGGCCACATGCAATTAGGGATGAATTACATACAACTGGCTAGGATGAATTCTTGGATACACAGGTAAGGGTCCACTGACCGTCCACACCCCCTTCTATGAGGGAACTCAACTGTCACAGGCCCCACGGTGATGGCCCTGCACAGCTGTGGCCGAGCTGATGGAGATGGTACAGACCCCATGGTGGTGGCTCTTGCATGCAGGCCCCATGGCTGTGGCTCTTGCATGCAGGCGCCGTGGCGGTGGCCCTTGCACGCAGGCCCCGTGGCGGTGGCCCTTGCATGCAGGTGCCGTGGTGGTGGCCCTGGCACACAGGCTGAGCTGATGGAGATGGCAGCTGCTTTGCTTGGAGAACCACCTTCTACCACAGTACTTTCATCTCGATGGTGCAGTTCCGGCCCATCCATCCCGTGTTGCCCTCTCATGCCAACAACTCACCTACATCTGAATGGGGTCAGTGGAGGGCTGGGTGCCTGGCTTCTTGCATCATGGCCCATTCCTTCTCAGCTCTCACTGCCAGCCCAGAAAATCACACAAAGGAAAGAAAACCTGAGGGAAGTGGACCGGGCGGGAGGCGCAGCTGGTTCTGAAGCTCACTGATGTTTTTTTCCCGAGGCCCTCTGCAAAAGGTTGCTGGCTTCTACCTGTCACTCAGGTGCGGGTGCCACCGACCTCATTAGATCCCGGTTCTGACGATGCACTGTGCGGCTCATAGATCTGTTATGATCCTACCCTGGAGGTGACAAAACTCTTGCACCCTCCCTCCCCCCCTCACTGGCTGTTCTTACAGAGGACCCAGGTTCAGCAGCACCCACATGGAAGCTAACAACTGTCCCTAACTCTAGTTCCAGGGGATCCAGTGGGCATTTCTCAACACAGGTGCACTTACACATGCAGGAAATACACTCATACACAAAATAAAAACAGTAAATTAAAAAAAGAAAATGAATTGGTCAGGGCAATGGTCTCATTTCGTGTTTTAACATCAGACATCCCAGGGGTTGAGCCTTACTGCTGTGATTGAAGGACTAAGGGAAACTCTAGGAAAACCTCACAGTGAAGGGCAGCAATGTCAACCCAGAAACCTGGTTCTCAAGACGCCAGATCCCATGGTGTGCTGTCATCCTTGGGGCATAGCAGCTAAATTTGGTCAGCAAAAAGGAGACACTAGAAAACACAGGGGTGGGACTCACTTAAGATGCAAGAAGGGAAGCCACAAAACGGTCCTCTACCACCCACCTAAAACCATGCCCGGGTAACAGCTGTACCGTCTCCCCGAAGGAACCCAAAGACACACACGTTCCTATTTCTGAAAACCACTCAGACTTTGTACCCTGATGGCATAACGCTGTTGCATTCTAACCAACATCCTTTTCTGTGAACCAGCAGCAACTTGGAGAGGATTGCATTGCCATGGAGATGCAGAACTGGGGACGGATCCAAATGGCATTCCTTCCTTCCTTCCATCAATATTTACAGAGCATGGGGTCTGTGCCAGGTACTGTGTGAGAGGCTGGGGGATTCTGCCACTGACCTCTGGGTCTGTATTCCTCACTCCAGCTGTGAAAGGGCTGAGCACAGGGAGCATGCTGTGACAGGACCTGGGGTTTTGGCCGGGTCAGAGGCCTCTCTCACAAAGCTGTTGGATGCTGAGGCCAGAACATCAGAACCAGCTGGCTGGCTAACAGGTGGGTGGAGGCTCAGGCAGTGGAGTGCCCTGGATGTTTGTTTCCTATTGTATAACAAGCTTGGGGGCTTAAAACAACCCATTTGGTGTCTCTGTGTCTCAGTGGGTCAGGATCTGAACTTAGCCCCAGGATGTTCTTCCCTGGTCTGGCTGGTGGCTGGCTATGTTCTCATCTGGAGGCTCGACTGAGAAAGAATGCCCTTCCTGGCTCATTCAGGCCAGGGCAGAATCCGTTGGCTTCTGCCGTGTGACTGAGGGTTTCCGTTCCCAGCTGGTGGAGGCTGGTGGTTGCCGGTTGTGCCCAGAGACCAACGTAGGGGCTTCTGTGACACAGTGGCTTGCAGCATCGTGCCAGCCAGCAAGGAGAACCTTCCTCTCCAGGCTGCTGAGACACATTAAAGCACAGGAGAGAAATCTCCTGCTTCTGCCTGACTGAGTGGTCCCACCCACTCCAGAGGAGGGAACTATACGAGGTGTATGCCCCAGGAAGTGGGAAACCACTGATCTATCTCCCACAGAGTGCAAAGGCTCTGAGTTGGGAAGATGAGGCTGAACTGGAGGATTGAAAGGGCTGCATATCCAGGGAGGAAGAGGATGTTGGAATGAAGCTAAGGGCAGGCGGCCCCAGGCCCTGAGAGGCTCTAAGGATGCAGCCTGGGAAACAGGAGGGACCCAGCCACTTTGGAATTTTGCTTGTATGTATGTGATGTGTCTATATGTATTCAAGTATAAATGCACGTGTGCATGTGCGTACACATGCACATGTATGTGCATGCATGTAGAGGCCAGAGGTTGACATTTGGCGTCTTCCTCAACTGAGCTCCACTTTATTTTGTGAGACAGCATCTCCCCCCGAACCTGGGGCGCACTGATTCAGCTAGACCCACTACAGAGCCTCCTGCCTCTGTCCTACCAGACCCAGGGTTATAGGTATGTGTCATGCCTGGCTCCCTATTAGTTTTAAAGAAACCGCCACATGTCTTTGTATAAAATCAACTTCTGAAGGGTGAACTTTCAGGACTGGGTTTTGCACAGCTGTGTCCAGGAAAGGAACAAGGTGGCTGTGGGTGACCAGGAGGGGCCTCTGCTGCCTTCTGAGTTCTGAGCCACTTGAATGGATGTGCTGTATCCAAGAACTCCCCATTTTATTTTGTTTTAGTTTGTTTTGTTTTATTGGAGAAAGGGTCTCATGTAGCCTATGTGGCCTAGAACTCACTACGTAGCTGAGGATAATCTTGAACTTTTAATCCTCTTGCCTCTACTTTCCAAGTGCCCGGGTGGATAGGACGTGTGTGCCACAACACCTGTTTGTTGTTGTTGTTTTTTAAACACAGTGCTGAGCATTGAAGTCGGGGCCTCCCACACGGTAGGGAAGCACTTTACCAGCTGAGCTACATACCCAGCCCCAAATTTTTCAAAGCCACCTTTGGGTAACCACATGAAGACAGTCCTGGGAAGAAATCTGGAAGAGGAAAGAGCATCAGCGACCACATCAAACAGGATGCTCGCGCACCGGCCTGCACGACCACATCAAACAGGATGCTCGCGCACCAGCCTGTACGCTCAGTCTCTCCAGCCCTGCTCCCTTCCTTGCACATCCCCACAGCTCACTGCCTTCTTTCTTAACCCTTCTTTGTCTAAAAGAAGTGGACTGGGCACTCTCTAACCTCAACATGATTGTCCCTAAGATGCACTAACAGGTCTCAAAGACAGGTAGAGCCGCCTCGTTTTCATAGTTCTAATACAAACTGCTAATTTCTCTTTCTCTTAATGCATTGGATGGTCACTTCAAAAAGAATTCTTCAAAGTGATTGCAAACGGAGAAGAAAGCAAGGCAAAGAGAAGAAGCTCCCAGCGTTACCTATGGAATCCTGACGGGAATCCTGACGGCTGTGGCTGTGCTGCCTCCCCCAACTCCACTCCCTGCATTCTTTTTGCGCTCTAAATTACCAATTCTAGTCCCTGTGTAGCTAAATAATAATAATTACCATATAAATGAATATGCATATGTGTCATTTTCCTCCCTGAAAGCTAGAGAGCCTGTTTATTTGGGGTGAGGGTTTGTTTTACTTTTGAACAACCAAAGCTTGCAATTAGAAGCCTTGCCTCACTCTGGAAATCTGTCTCCATCAGGAGGAGATGAAAAAGGCTCTTGTGCCCCGTGAAAGTTAAAAGAAATCTTAAAACAGATTGAAGAAGATAGCTCTTTCCTCTGTACGTAACAATGGGCAGGTTATAAGCCGAATCACAGGCCTGTGCAGCAGGAGACTGCCTCTGTGCTCCAGCCCAGCACTGCTCTTGTTCAGATGGGGAAATGGGGCAGGAAGGACTGAAGCTCACATCAGAGGAAGACATAACCTCCATGACAGGAGGCACAGAAAACAAGAATACCACGCCATTTTTGCGTCTTAGGCCTGATGCTTCAGTGGGGCCTTCTATAAAGGTTCTGCACATCTTGGGTTCTGCATCTGTGAAACTGGGGGGTGCCAGTGTGACTTCCTCCCTGGGTGCTGTAAAGACCGGCGGGAGGTGGTTCAGTGGATGAAGCAGTTCTCCACAAGTGTGAGGACCAGAGTTTGGATCCCCGAGACCACGTGAATTAAAGCTGGGCAGGTGTGGCAGCTGCCTGTAACCCCAGCACTAGGGAGACACAGAGACCGAGGATCCCTAGTGTCCCCCAAAGGCTCCAGGTACATGGCCAGTTGGTGGCTCTGTTTGCGGAGGTCTAGGAGGTGCGTCCTTGCTGGAGGAAATGTGTCTCTGGGGGTGACTTTGAGAGTTCACAGCCTGGTCCCATTTCCGGTCTGTCTCTCTGCTTCCTGCCTGTGGGTGCTCAGCTTTCTGTTCTGGCTGCTTCTCCCACCGTGCCGCCCAGCAATGATGGACTCTTCTCCCTCTGGAACTGTAAGCCAAACAAACCCTTCCTTCTATAAGTCACCTTGGTCATGGTGACTTATCACAGCAACAGAAAAGTAACTTATACATTAGATTAGCCCAAACCAGAACATGGGGTTCAGGGAGGGACCCTTGCCTCAGTAAAGAAATAAAAGCAAAGAGTGACTGAGAAAAACACCTGATGTCAACTTCAGGCCTCCACATGCATGCATACACATATGCACCTACACACACATATGCAAACGTGCATACACACATGTACACGTTAAAAAAAAAAAAAAAGAAAAAAAGAAAGACGCGCCGGGTGTGGTGGCGCACACCTTTAGTCCCTGCACTCCGGAGGCAGAGGCAGGTGGATCTCTGTGAGTTCGAGGCCAGCCTGGTCTACATAGTGAGTTCTAGGACAGCTCGAGCTACAGGGAGACCCTGTCTCAAAAAAGACAAAAACAAAAACAAAAAAAAAACAAAACTGGGTTAGGTGCTGGCTGGATGGAGCAGTTGACCTGGCCACATGTGCCACACACCTGACTGGAAGGTGCCACCAGCAATTTAGTAATCACATTCCTTCCTATGTAGTGTGAGGTGCACCTGCACTGGGGGGCAGCAGATGGTGCTACTGTCATCAGATCACCATGACGATAAATAATATTATAAATGTTAATGTGGCCTGGCCTGGTGGTGCACACCTTTAATCCCAGCTCTTGGGAGACAGAGGCAGGCAGATCTCTGAGTTCTAGGCCAGCCTGATCTACATAGCAAATTCCAGGCCAGCGAGACCATGTCTCAAAAAAAATAAATAAATACAAATAAACTAATGTGGTCAATGGTATTAATAACAAGTCTCCTCACATGGAGTATAATATAGTCAACAGCACTAATAACAAATATTATTTTGATGGCTGTGGTAGTCATGGCAGGGACTCTTAATTAAAAAAAAAATTTATGTGTATGAATGTTTTGCCTGCATGTGCATGCAGTGCCTGAAGAGGCCAGAAGAGGGTGTTGGATCCCCTGGAACTGGAGTTATGAATGGTTGTTAGCTGCCATGTGGGTGCTGGGAATTGAACCCAGGTCCTCTGCAAGAGCAGTTAGTGTTCTTAACCACTGAGCCATCTCACTCTTTTTTTTTTTTTTTCGTCTTTTTGAGACAGGGTCTCCCTGTAGCCTCAGCTGTCCTGGAACTCACTATGTAGACCAGGCTGGCCTTGAACTCACAGAGATCCGCCTGCCTCTGCCTCCTGAGTGCTGGGATTAAAGGAGTACGCACTCTCTCTTTTTTTTTATGGGGATGGAACCCAGGTCCATGCACATTCTAGGCAAGCACTCTACCACTGGGTCACACCCATAGCCTGATGCTTTTTAACAACTGTGGTTCCTTGCTATGACCCTGGCACTAAGAAAAGATTTGCTGCATAAGCAAACAGATGATGAATGAATGAATGAATGAATGAATGAATGAATGAATGAATGAAACACTGGAGGGAGGCAGATGGCCCAACAGAAGGCAATGTGATGGTGATGGAGGGACATGTCAGGTTCCATGGGGTTGTGGGAAGGAGCCCTCAGGTCAGTGACTGGCAGGAAAGCGGGCGAGTGGACAGTCTGCACACAGCATCCAAATCTCTGCAGAGGCTATACAGCCTGGCCTGTGGCCCAAGGCTACAAAGAGCCAGCCCTGGGCACCATGGCCCCAGTCCACAGCTTGCCAGCCCCACTGCTTTCCCATCATGTGGTTCTGGGCAGGCCTCAGGCAGTACATCTGTGGAATGGGGCCAGTAATGATCTTCTAGAGCCACACAGGGATGGAAAAAGTGCTGTCTCAGCACAGTATTGGTCCTTTCCTATGTGTCTAGAACCAGGACAGATCTAGCTCACAGTCCAGATTCGGAAGGCCCCACCGCACTGAACTTGCAACTGTCTGAGGTGCAAGACTAGGTCAGCTCTGCTGATTCCATTTTACTTTTGGCGTCCTGTAGATTGACCCCAAATCGTCCCATGTGCTAAGAACACAACCTAACCCTGAGTGACAGCTCCAGCCCCCCGCGCCCCCACCCTCACCTGTGCTTGTAAGTACGACACAGGGCCTGTTGCAGGGCTTCAGTCCTGGGTGAGGGACACTTGTACCAGAGTAGTGACATTCCTGTGTTTGGCCAGATGTGGGAGCTGTGATTGCCGAGAGAGAGGAGAGACTGAAGACCCAAGAGGAAGGGTCAGACACCTTCCGCCTGGTGAAGAAGTTTCATTCCGGGTGGCAAACTTGTGGTCCAACAGGGATGTCAGCACAGTGTTCTGTGCTGGACTATGCATGGTGACCACGCACAGTCATTTCAGACATCCCTCTCTCTCCTTCATTACCTGCCAACAGGTTGTCCCTAGACAACAATGGGAACCTTTAAGGGGGAGACTGACTGATGTCTCAGTTTGAAAGAAGCTGCCCTAAGTTGGCTGAACTGAGTGTGAAGTTGGGGTGCAGCTGGATTTCTGGCCCCTGGCCTCAGTCCTGGCCATAGAGCTCCACTGAGATGGTCCCCCCTTCTCTAGAAACTTCCACGGTGACCTGACTCTCCTGGCCCTGCTTTCCCTTCAAACTTTGTCTCTCTGCTTTCTTCCGGTCAGGTGAGGCTGCTTCATACTGTAACTGGGAACCCAGGGCAGGACCACCTGGCTAGTGGTGGGGGTGTCAAGGAGGAAGGTGTCCAGAGTGGGGGAAGGGCCCAGCAGCCAGGACAGGCCAATGCATGCAAAGGGGGCTGTGCTGAAGAGCTTTAGTGTCAACTTGACACACCTGGGTTGAGGAGCCTCAATTGGGGAATTGCCTCCATTGGACTGGCCTGTGGCCATGTCTGTGGGGCATCTTCTTGATGGTTGAGTGATGTGGGAGGGCCCAGCCCACTGTGGGTGGTGCCACCCCTGGACAGGTGGGCCTGTGTTGCATAAGAAAGCAGGTTGAGCAGGGGCCAGGGGAGCAAGCCAGTAGGCAGCATTCCTCCATGGCCTGTGCTCCAGCTCCTGCCTCCAGGTTCCTGCCCTGAGTTCCTGCCTTGGGCTCCTGTTGAACTGTGACCCAGGAGATGCAAACCAAACAAACCCTTTCCTCCCCAAGTTGGTAGTGGTCAGAGTGTTTTGTCACAGCAATGGAGAAACAAACTAGGACAGGGACGCAAAGTGGAGGTATCAAGTTGAGTCAAGTGCGGGCGTGGTAGCAAGGCAGAAACAGTTAAGTCTGCGCTCAGGCCTCTTTCTAACATTCCTGGAAGGGCGATGTTTACTTCTTACGTAGAACTGAAGGAAAAAGCAGAAAGGTTTGTGTGACGATGTGGAAGTGTTGTTCAGAACAGGGGTTGTCTGGTGCAGTAACCACTTCTCTGTTGCTGTAGCAGAATGTCTGACAACTGAAGGGAGGAAGGGTTTGTTTGGGCTCATGGCTTGATGGCGCACAGTCCGTCGTGGAGGGAAGGCCTGGTGACAGAAGCAGGAGGCGGCCGGCTACGTAGTGCCCGCAGTCAGGAAGCAGACAGTTGAAGTGCTAGTGCTCGGCACGTTTTTCTCACTTCTGTTCAGTCCAGGACCCAGCTCATAGGACGGTGCCATGCACATCTGGGGATGGGGTGGGTCTCTCTTCAGCCACATTCTCTGAGAATGCCTCACAGATATGCCCAGAGCCATGCCTCCTATGTGATTCTAAGCCCAAACTGGCAACCGAGATCGTCTGCATGGCCAGTTCTGGCTGTTTTTATACATAAAGTTTTACTGGGACACAGCTCTGCCCTTTCGGGACATACTGTATCTGCTGCTTCCACATTATGTCAGAGCTGCCACAAAGACCACACAGCCAGCAAGCCTGAACTGGCTGTAACTTGAGGTCAGAGGAAGACACACACACTATTTAGGTCCCTCTTTAACACCGAGACTGCAACTTTGTCTGTAACCCGTTCCTGCTTCCAGGCACATGGCTGGGGGCCAAGCAGGTCATTTGCCAGGCCTTAGGAAAGTACACAGCCAAAGGTAAAGCGGAGAAGAATCTAGAATCCCAGAAGCTCCTGGGCAAGGAAGCTACCTGAGCCCCAAAGCAGCCACAAGCAGGGATAGAGCAGGGCCAGGAGGAGGTGGAGGAAAAAAGGCCCTTCTCAGAGTAGGGGAGTCTGTGCGAGGGCCCCCAGCCCCCAGGCCACCCTGCTGCAGCCGGCATGACTCAGGGACATGGGGAGCAACATCACGCTAACTCTTTCTGTCTCTGTCCCCTCACTCTGTGGTCCTCGTATGGAGACGGTCACAGAGCAGAGAAGTAACACCACAACTTTCTGGCCAAAAGACTGAAAAGAGGGATACCAGGGACATGCCAGAGAGGGAAGCCCAGGAAAGTAACCGCTAGAATTGTTTGTGTTATTACGATGGAATTTCCGAGGCAATCTAACTTTACAAAGAAAAGAGGTTTATTTAGCTCACAGTTTTAGAGGCTTGGATAGTCCAACTACATTGCCAACATCGCTGGAGTTAGCGATGGAAACCATGGAAACACATCTCTGGGTGTGTCTGCATGGGCATTTCCAGAGAGGTTTAACCAAGCAGGGACCAGCCCATGGGCTGGAGTCTCAGGCCTAATAAAAAGGAGGAAGCAAATAGAGTGCCAGCCTCCCTCCCTGCTTCCTGCCTGTGGACACACTGTGACCAGCTGCCCGGGGATTCTGCCACCACGCCTTCCTGTATGGCATTCCAACGACCATGCTGAGAGACAAAACTTTCAATCTTCTCCCAGGGCCCCCAGGGTGGTACACACACAACAGAGGATGACACAGCACTGTCATCCCCACAGCTGCCAAAGACAAAGTCCACACCAAAACTACAACTCAGAACTGCCCAGTTGGAGCACATTAGAACTCAACCGAATCACCCACCAACACAAAATGTCAGCATTCACCACAGGACACAGATTGTACCCAGAATCTCAAGACACGAAACATATCCAGGATACAACTCTACTTAGCCCAGGGAGAACCAGGCTAATCCTGACTCACATGGAGGAAAATAAACCATCACCAAGGTGTGACTCAGGCGTTGGACTTTTTCACAAAGCTAACCCTCCAAAGCTGCTGTTATTATTTTTTTTTAAGTTGGGGCTGAGCTGGGTGTGGTGGTACATGCCTTTGAGCCCACCCCTCCGGAGGCAGAGGGAGGCAGATCTCTGAGATGGAGATCAGCCTGGTTCCAGGCCAGCTGGGGCTACAGCAAGACCCTGTCTCAAAACAAAACAGGACAGAGCCCCAGGGACCGTGAGACATTCCTGTTACTGGAGTACTACAAGGAGAAAAAGTGCAGTACATGTGGCCCTCAGCTTGACGTGACTGTGGCCATCTTGGCTGTAACTGCCATGCTGCCACCAGGTCACCCAGACATGCATCCCCAAGCCCTAGAGGAAGGAGCCAGACAGCCAGCGGACACTGCACCAGCCCCCAATGCTCAACCTGTGTTTTAACCCATGTTAGACATGTGACTAGGTTTTGTCAAAGGCTAGGCGTACTCTGACTAGTCTACCTTTGTCTACATTAGCGTAAAGCCCCTTCCTCCTGCCTTGGGGGTCAGGGATCAACCCATCTGGCTGATGTCTAACAAATGCCCCTGCCCCAGTTCCCCCAATCCCACAGCTGTGTGAGTATAATCCACAGTAATCCTGGGCCTGTCTGTCTTGATTTTGGTGTCAGGGTAACTAGTGGTCAGTTCTCACACATTACACCAAGTTTCTAAAACCACATAGGAAATTATTTCAAGAACAAAATCTGGGAGCTGGAGAGCTGGCTCAGCAGTTAAGAACACTTGCTGCTCTTTCAGAGGATCTGGGTTTGATTCTCAGCACCCACATGGCAGCTAATAACTGTCCATAACTCCAGTTCCAGGGGATCCAACACCCTCTTCTAACCTCTATGGGCATTGCACGAACATGGTGCATGTACATGCAGGTAAAACATTCATACCCATTAAATAAAAATAATAAATAAGATATATTTTTTAAAAAAGAATCAAGGCAGGGGCTAGGGAGATGGCTCAGCAGTTAAGAGGTGTTGCTGCTCTTACAGAAGACCTGAGTTCAGTTCCCAGCACCCACATGACAGCTAACACCCACCTGTAACTCCAGTTCCAATGGATCCAATGCTTGTGGCTACCACAAGCACCAAGCATGTGGTGCTTATACATACATGGGGGCAAAACACACATAAATAAAAAAAATAAATCTTTAAAAGAATAAAAGCTACGGACTGGAGAGATGGCTCAGGGGTTAAGAACACTTGCTGTGTGAGTCCCAGCACCCAACTGGCGGCTAACAACTGATCTTTAATCCAGTTCCAGGGGATCTGATACCCTCTTCTGGCCTCGTCAGGCATTGCACACAGGTGGTGCACTTACATACATGCAGGCAAAACAGGCAAACACATTAAAAAAAAAAAAGACTAAAGCATAAAAGCTGAAGAGCCTGGAAGCCAAAACATCGCTTGCTGGTTGACTTAACAGCTCCCACACACACTGGCAATTGCTCTTTTGCTCTTTGCTCTCTTGGGACCCTCAGAGTGGGCTGGCTGTTTCATAGGCTACTTTAAAGCCCATGTCCACAAACTGACCCTTGCTGAGCTCCTGGTTGCCAGTTTTATCTTCTCCATAGCCTCTGATGGTCATGCTCCGAGAGGGGCATGCCCCTCCCCGGCCCCTCTGTCCTAGTAGCAGCCCTTAGCCCCACAGCACCATGCAATCTTACCTTTCTGAGGCAGTCATCCTCGTTCAGGCGCTCCTTAACCAGGGTGACCAGCATCTTGTTAGAAACTGTCTAAAGGAAGGACACACACCATGAGGCACCCCCAACTTGCATCTTAGAGCTCAGGGGCCAGACACTGACAGTGCTCCTGACTGAGCCCTTGTTCCAGTACTCTCCTATCCCTGCCCACATTTAATTTTTTAAAAATATTGCATGTGGGGACTGGAGAAATGGCTCAGCAGTTAAGAACACTGGTTGTTCCTGCAGAAGACCTGGGTTCGAATCCCAGCACCCAGACTAACAACTGTCCTAACTCCAGTCCCAGGGGATCTGACAGCCTCTTCTGACCTCTGAGGGCATTGCGTGACACGGAGGCAATACACACATACACATAAAATAAAAATAAAAATTTTTTAAAAGTTAAAAAAATATTGTATGTGTATGAGTGTTTTGCTTGCATGTATTTACTGCCTGTGGAGGTCAGAAGAGGGCGCTGGATCCCCTGGAACTGGAGCTACAGATGGTTGTAGCCACCATGTGGGTGCTGGGAACTGAGCTCTGGTCCTCTGCCAGAATAGCCAGTGCTCTTCCCTGCTGAGCCATCTCTCCAGCCCCATCGGTCCCCATTTTCTGACCTTCACCCCCAAACACCACTCCCTATTACCTGAAGTGTCTTCCGACCACTATGCTGGCAAGCTATAGTCACACCTCCTTCCCATGCTCCTTGAAAGGAGGGGGGGGGGTCAGTTACCCCTCCCACCCAGTCGACCTTAGCTGCATGAGGGGAGGGGCCAAAGATATATAAGCTGAGCACATCATGAGACATCTCTGGCCACTTTGTGCGGCTGTTGGAAGTCACAGCATCTGTGTTTGAACGTGGACTTTCCAGCAAAGCTGTAAATAGGTGGGAGTGCCCACTCTTGTGTAAGTAAACCCCCACCCCATGTTCTGTTAGTAATCCCAATAAACTCGTCAGGATTTTCCAAACGGCGGTTTTGGGGAATTCTTGCTTCGGGTTATCTTGTTGTCCAGTTGTCCTAAGGACGGTGTGAGGAGGGAACAGATGCCACATGTGCCTCCCAGAAGTAATTTTTAGTACACACCTCTGAGCCACAGCCCTCCCAGTCCCACAAGGTCCCAACTGAACTCTGCTTCTTGAACCCCAAGAGTGAAATGATGAATTTGTCTGTTATTCAAACCACAGGAGGCTGTGTCTGTTCCCAGTAACGGCAACAGTCCTCTAGGAAAGGGGCTGCATCTTGGGCCTTTGTACCCCACAGACAGGGGTGAAGATGGGGGAGGGAACTAGTTGACCCAGGCTCTAGTGTGAAGAGTGTACACACACACCTCTCTCCAATTGTACACTCCGTGACTTCACACTGGTGATTAAAAGCTAACCTCAATGGAAGTGTTTATGTCACAAAATGGGCAAATGCTGTAAGGACTCTGCTGGAGAGATGTGGGCGTTGAACAGACCCTGCCGCAAACTCCAGAGAGTACCAAGGACAAATTCAACAAGTCGTTACCACACAGCTTGAGGGTGGATGATGGAGCCATCCTCTGGTACTTAGTGAGGGCCTCCGCCCTTCATCTTCTATTCTTCACCCAGCCAGGGACATGGTGCAGGCCAAGCACAGGGAGTGTCTCCCCACAAATCCCTCAAGCATCCTTAGGGCTGGCCACATTTGTTGTGGCTCTGTAAAAACAGCCTCCATGGTTCGTTCTAGAAGCAACTTTCGTGAAGGTTTAGGGTGCCCACATCCTGGCCCTCAGCTGCCACCATGCCCTCCTTCAGTGCTGGAGAAGATTGCGATCATGGCTCACAGCTTCTGAGAGTTTCAGACCATCAGGACAGGGACAGTATAGCCAAGCATGACAGCAAAGTTCATGACAGCAGGGGCATGTGACAGTGCCAGCTATGTCACATCAGAGCAGACCAGGAAGTAGAGAACCATGCAGGAAATAGGGCCGGTGTAACCCTCAAAGCCTCCTCATAGTGACCTACCAGCTAAACCCATAATAAAGGATCTACAGGTAACCTCCCAAACTGAATCCTGTTAGGGACATTTCAAAGTCAAACCATAATAGCCAGGGGCTCTCTCTCTCTCTCTCTCTCTCTCTCTCTCTGCCTCTCTCTCTCTGCCTCTCTGTCTCTGTCTCTCTCTGTGTGCTTGTGTGTGCATGCGTGTCTGTGTGTTTCTGTGTGTGTGTCTCTGTGTGCATGAGTGTGTGTGTGTGTGTGTGTGTGTGTGTGTGTGTGTATTTTAAGACAGAGCTTTGCCTACCAGGCTGGGCTCAAAATCGCTATGTGGCTAAGATGCTAAGGATGCCCTTAAACTCCTCATTCCTCTGCCTCTACCCCAAGCACTGGGATTACAGGCATCCAGTAATCCCCACACACAGTTTATGCAGTGCAGGGGATCAATCCCAGGGCCTCATGCATGTTAGGCAAGCACTCTACCAACTGAACTACATCCTCAGCCCAGCCAGGAGTTTTGTCTGCATTGGTCTGGGAAGAGTTAAGAATCTGCCTTTCCAACATGATCTTAAGTGACATCATTGCTCCTAGACAGACCCTCACCTGGAGCACCACTGGCCTAATGTAAGCTCAGTGTCCAAGAGCCCACCAGGCTGGGGAGCCAACTAGCCAGGAAGACTCTCTTTCCGCTGGTGCCCACGTCCTCCCAGGTATCTGGGGGAGCTCCCCAGGATTGGAAACACGGGGCATAGGCAGGAAGCAGTGGTCCCCATCCCCTTTCACCCTCTTCCATTCCTTCCCATCCCCTCCCAGGCAGCTGTGGTTCCAGAGGCTCATCCTCCCTCCCTGATATCACCTACTCATGCAGCATTCAAACAGGTACAGGGACGCAGGGGGTCCAAAGAGTCAAAGCAAATGGTTGAAAGGTGACAGGCCCAGGTGGGGTGCTCGCCCCCCACAGCCAGCACGGTAGGGGTGGTGGCTTTGAGTGAGGCCCATCCCAAGGGCTCCCTGCTGTTCTCTGCCACTGTGCTGTCTGGATGGTAGCTTTGATGTGTCACATCACCACCAGGGCTTTCTGGGCCACTCCTCAAAACTCTGCCAAAGTGTCTCATCAGTCGCTGTCCTTCCGGCACCCATTAATGTGTCCTCACCCTCTGGCCCCCAGGCCTGGCCTAAGAGGAGCGGCAGGAACAAGTGGAGAGAGCCCAGGGTGGCCACTTCTGGGTATGACGTGAGCACCTGGGGTTGGCTGAGGGCTGGTGGATGTGCAGCACACAGCCTGTCTCTTTGCCCCCTCGAGGGCAGTGTTGGCTACATCTTGTTGCATCTACTTTGGGCCCGTTCTCTCCCCTGGCAGGTTCCAGTGTAGCTCCTACAGCTTCTGGGGCCCAAGGATGGGATGGCTGGCCTGCTGCCCCAGGTGCCTCCTTCTCTTGAAAGATTGGCTGAGTGACTGTGCAGAGGTGCCAGGTGTGTGGGCTGCAGCAGGTGGGCGGGCTGCAGCAGGTGTGTGGGCTGCAGCAGGTGTGTGGGCTGCAGCAGGTGTGTGGGCTGCAGCAGGTGGGCGGGCTGCACCTGGTTCTGCCTTCAGGGCCACTAACTTCTAGAATGGGCTTCACTTTACATGGAAATGAGCTTGGGTTACCTTTATCACCAGGGCTCACTCTTGGACCCTAGTGACCCTGGATCACCTAGGTGGGGGACTCTGATGCACAGTACAGACTTCAGCAGGTCACCAGAAGGGGAAGCGCTGAGAGCCTGGTCTCCCCCACAGGGACAGCAGCTCTACTGGAATCTACAGAAGCCCTTTCCAGGGGCTGGAGAGATGGCTCAGTGGCTCAGAGCACCGGCTGCTGTTGCAGAGGACCCGGGTTTGATTCCCAACACCCACATGGTGACTAACAACCGTCCATAACTCCAGTTCCAGGGGATCTGATGTCTTCCTCTGACCTCCATGGGCATTGCACAACATGGGTGCACTCACATGCATACAGCCAATACAGTCATGCACATAAAATAATAATAAATAAAATATTAAAAAATAAAGTTGTAGATAGAGTAATATTATTAATAGCTGCAAACAGATATTTTCAAGAGAAAGCAAAATAATAAGAAACATTAACAGTGAATAAAAGGTTTTC